CGATGTAATATGATCAGGCAATGGAGATTAGGAATCCATTCGTGATTGTCTTGAGGGCTTTTTGGCTTTAATTCATGTAACCTCAGAGGAAATTACCTTATCCTGATATGATTACCTGTGGAATAGGCACTCGTGCCTGTACTATTGTGGAATATTATCCTGCATCGAAGGACTTCTAAAATACTGCCTTTACTGTACCTAGATTCATTGAAGTAAATAGTATTTTGGACGATCATAGATTGTTTGAAAATACATTAAAGTGTTTTGCAGATGTTCAATTCAATTTTTCAATGTATATTGAAAAATTTATGAGCAGGTTTAATGATAGAGACGAGGTTTTAAGATGGTGATTCTTATAGTGGCCTTATGGAAAATCTTGGCAATCGTGCAGAGGATTTCAAATTCTTCAGCGCTTTGCACGAAAAGTTAGACGGACACATTTACACTGGATTGCCGAGAAAGTCAAGGCAGAAATTTTTAGGAACTAGAATTGAACGACTGTGAAGGCATCTATGTTAATGTGAGCTTTTTAAAACCAATTAAAACAATTAATTTTAAAACAATTCAATAATTTCCCTAGAGAATGCATGAATCAACATTGGAGTCCGTTTTCACTGGACCTCATGCCAACTTATGTATTTTTAGCGCATTTTCTCATGAAAAAATGCACTATTGAAAAAAAAGCACTATTGTGCTCGCCATGTCCGTCTGTCCGTCCGTCCGTCTGTCTGTCCGTGACTTCACGTTTTCGTCGACGAGAAAATGCGCTCTCTAGCTGTCACTCACCGCAGTGAGTACCGAGTTATATTTTCTGTATTGAAGCTTATCAATAATGTTGGAAGCTATTACTTAGAACAAATGCCTTGAAAACCTCACTGGACGACCAAAAAATAATAAAAATAGCTAAAAAGAATAAAAATGAAGAAATAACAAAAAATTATTTGAAACATTTTAAACGTTCTGTCTAAAAACTGTTAGGTGCGATTTGCTGGTTAGTTCCATCATTTTTACCGGAAAATTACAGTTTTAGTAACTGCATAATAAGTTGTAAAATGACTATTAAATGTCATTAAGGGCATAAATAAATATATTTTACAGAAAAAAATTATTAAAACGGCTTCAGGAACTGTTCTCATTGTTGAGCTTCACACAGTCGTGCGGAAATTATAAAATTACACTCGTGGAGAACACATATGGGATTTAAAAGTCGATCGTTTAAAAAAACTACACGAAACAAAACCACACAAATCGACGTCCTCTAAATGCTCATTAATTTTACAGGCGGCAGTGAATTTAATTAGCATTAACACCAAGCACTTAAAAAAACGCGAAAATTGCACGAAACAAAAATTTTGTTGTTTGGACGTGTGATTTTTTTCAATCAAATCCAAAAAGGTTACCTAGTCTTAAAGAGGAGGTTACCGAGTTTTTTTTTTGTAAGTAGTGCGGAAGATAACAACCGATATCACTGAAATGCAATGCGGCCTGACTGTCAGAAACTGAAATTAGGACCCCAATGAGCATTTTGCACGGAAATATTGACGCATGTTTCTTAACAGTACACAATAACAATCTCGACCTTGATTTTGTCAATCCAAGGCAGATAGAAATGACAGGTATAGAAAGAAGGCAGGCAATGTGATGTGACCTTAAAACTAGTTGAATATCGTTTTGCTTTCACCGAATTTTCTCCAGTCCTGTGATAAATTAAAATATATTGGCTTTTGTAACCGAAGTCGAAAAGAACATTAGTGCTGTAAATTAACAGTCAATGAGCAGGACAAGCGCTACCAGACAAGGGCTGCCGTTTCGTCTAGAGGATTATACTAGAGTCTTGGTTAAAATTAACATCATGACCACTTAAAAATTAAACCAAGTAAATCGAGCATTCATTTTTATATTCAGGCTTTCTGTAATTTCTAAAAGTGTTGTAAGAATAAACCAGAAAAAGTATTTGCAACATAATAACACCTTCAGTCAGCCATTGGAACTGTAGCAAGTAACCGCTTGTGTATCGCAAAATGGATGATGCCTTCATGGATGAGCATCTATGTATATACTGTTGAGGTAGAAAATCGATCAAGCACTATCAATCGAATATCATTTGCTTTTCATTGGCATTCATTCACGTGCTTACGATAGAAAATAATATATCGTCGTACTACTCTTCTCGCGACTAACTACGATGCGCCATTGAATGGAAGTTAAATTAGAACAAAAATAATTTCTTTGATTGGAACTATAAAAAACAATACCTAGTCAATTTATTTGCAAGTTGCGATTCCATCAGACGAAATAAACTGTACTCGCTGGCGCACGACGTGAGTTTGTTACTATATAGTTTTGTAGCGGTATTCCCTCAATGCAGAAGCGACTTATCGATTTCCGCACCGCTTTCTTATGTTTTCGATTGGCTGTTCGACAATATTTAGATTTATAGCTTTACAATATTGTTCTCAGTAATTCTATGATGATATGATGATGGAGTATCTGACTTTTTGTGTAAAGTTTGATCCATTTGATATTGATATATATCGCGATTCCTTTTCTCGTGGGAGCCGGAAATTATCGTATGGTTATTTGGTCATCTTCAATCACTACAGTGCTTCATAATAAGCATTCAGCGTGCTGAATCACAAACCAAACTCGCAAATTTCGATGGTTCGTTTTTTTTTTCATCTGCGAATACAGTCAGTTGTTTTAACAAGAACTTTTATGTTCAATAGGAGAAGTACATAAAAATACTGATCACAAGCTCAACAAAGTCAGGATGGTAGGGGTAACTGTAAAATATGGTCTTCGAAATGGCGCTTCCGCAGGTGTCTATGTCCTGAGTTATCCTAACTTTAGTGCAAAACTTTGGACAGGAAGTTGAAAATTTGCGAGGTCAGGCTGCTAGAGCAGGAACGCGAACTAGCAGAAACCAAACTCGATTTACGAGCAGAATGTCGGTTCACAGTTATCGTGTGAGTCATACCCTACGCCTGTATTTAAAAAATGTTCTCGATGCTTGTATAATTAACTAGCATTGATGAGTTTAAAAAATCAATCTCATTGATAAAATAAATTTCATGATGCGATATTATTAATTTGTGTGGTTCATTCTTTCCCACATCCATGTAACTCATACCTATTCATATCCTAAATTATTTTTCCAACCATGGGCCTATTTTCTTCAATGTCGACACTTCTATTCTTATTCTAAAGGTTAGTTTCAAATTTTATTCCACTCATATGAGTGATGAGAAATTTCTTTCATATTTAGGTCATCCATCAATTCGAAAATTTACCTCTAATAATAATTTCCGAGATATTTGTATTGCAAGTTATTATTTTTTGCACAATTGAACGGGACTGCTGAGTAAACAAGCGCTCTGCTCGAAGACGTAATTACGATGGTAGCTTTGTTTGCTGAGCGCCGCTTGCTCAACGAAGGAAAATGTTTGTGCGTCAGGACACCTCCAGCGTTTAGTCTCGCGAGTTTCACTACCTATTTTTTTCAATATACATCTATCCATCATTGCAAATTTATCCATTAATACAGTGGACCTCGTTTTAAGAACTTAATTTCTACAGGAACTCAATTCGTGAAGCGGTTCGTGACATACTCATAAAGCGACCCCATTCTTTCCGTTGAAATTAATGGAAAATATTCAGATCCGTGTAGTGCCTCCCTAAAAGTGACATTCTTTACGTATACACTGTGCTTAAAATAGGCTGAAAAATAAGTATGTTTACGCTGAGTTGCCTAGTATAGCATCTTTCTGACTCAGATCGTATATTTATTTCGGCTGTAGTGCTAGGCCAGGTCAGCCAGCCTCATGACGGCCGCATGTTTATTGATGATGTACAATTCATCCTGATAGGTATCGAGACTTATTATGTGGATCAACTACTAATTTACAGTGACTGAGGTCGTACAGCGAAGTACAGGCGTTTAGCGGAGCACATTTTTTCAATCTGACGGTTCGTAAAGTAGGGCGATCGTGAATCGTTGGAAATACACATCCGTCAATTACGCATTCATTAAATTTCAGATGTTAATAGTATTGCATTATAATTATTATTAAAAATGAACTTATTCTAGTAGAGACTGTTATAAAATTTGGACCGATGAAGCAGACAGTGAAAAACACCCATGCAGATTTCAATAGTTAAATTACGATGATTTAATTTCATGATTGATATACTGCACACTACCTCATACTGCGATTTTTTGCTGTAAATGATTCTCAAGTGGTTATTTCGGCTGTAATGATGGTAGCGCGTATCTTTATTTATATATAATCATTTTAAATTCTATATTATTTTGGCGTGTGCGTTTGAAGGTCATGCGCTGAATGCCAGATGGATTATTATAAACTGACCCGAGTGTCGATTTTAAATTCGAAAATTTAAGTGGACAAGTAATATCCGATGCTCTTCACTTACATCTGCAAAAAATATAACTCAGTACTCACTGCAGTGAGTGACAGAGAGCGCATTTTCTCGTCGACGAAAACTTGAGGTCACGGACGGACGGACGGACAGACAGACAAACGGACAGACAGACAGACGGACAGACAGAAGGACAGACAGATAGACAGACAAATAAACAGACAGACGGACATGGCGAGCACAATAGTGCATTTTTCCTATAAATGAGAAAATGCGCTAAAAAGCTTACAGAATTGAGATAATTTCTCTATTACGGGGATTGATGAATAGAATCATCGCTGTTCAACGAGCATATTATTTAGAGGATCGCTTAGTCTTCTGATAACGAAATACGCGCGCCGTTGTTCTCTTTGTTTAGGCTTCTGGTCACCTAGCAACTAACATCGAGGAGGGATGTGAGAATGCGCTTTTAATGTAAAAAATGACTTCCTTGAACATCACTTGGAATTGATAGCTTTCATAAGAACTATCAAGTGGAATGTTATCAAACTTTGGTTTGAAGTGGTACGTGTCCAAATATTAATTATTGTAATTATCCCTTAACTTAAGTCGAGATATGATAAGCAGTTGAGTATGATAAGAAATTATTTGGGTTCTGGAAACGTTAGAAATAAAATGGAGAATGGGAACGCCGCTCCCACTGCGGTGCTCGCTTCGGATCCGTGGTCGCTGCAGGCGACTGGTGTTACCAGCTCGGCAGACGACACGTCGCGCCTCTGCCTCGTCACTGAGCCCGACGACCAGGGTGGGAGAGACGTGCTGGGACTCAGGTACGTAGGTTTACGGCATGAATAATATCAGATAATAATAAGTGCAATTTCTTTCCCCTGATTTAATGACGAAGCTATGAAAAATAAGTATAATGTGAGCAATTTTTATAGTTATTCATTAATTAGGATTTTAAGATACCTAAGGGCAGGGTGGCCCAGTGGTTAAAGTTCAGAGTACCAAGATTGGCGCAGAGAGGTGCGGGTTCGATCCCAGCTCTGTGCGCCAGTTTCTGGTCAGAATCGGCAAGGAGGCCGGGCGGTTAAGCATAGCAGAATTGTAGCAGTGAGTTGCGAGTTCGAGACCGCAAAATGCTGTGAATGTTCTGCGATGTTAAGAATCGGCGACAGGCCTACGGCCTAATAAACGCTGAAACCGCTATTATTATTATTTATTATTATTAAGTGTTGTGCATGCGATGAATAAATATTTGCTGAATTCAGGACCTAATTCCAGCAAGAACTGCTCGTAAACTGAAAAATTAGGCATGGTAACTAATCTATTCTTTGCTTAAAATCCAGAATTCGTTTCAGAATGGGTTGAAAGCTCTCAAGTTTCTATTTGGAGTTTGTATAACTCAGTAAGACTTGAATTCCCTGCTTCAACAGCGTGGATGTGTCGAATCGCCGTTATTCGTCCTACAAGTCAGCACCATATATTGGCCGCTGCATACACATCGACGATGCCATACTGAGCTGCAGTTTAAAATGTCTTACACCGCATCATCTCTTCAACAAAGCGAACGATGAATTGTCGAATACCACCGTGAGTTACCGCGTTGGAGGGTTCCAAATCAGATTTCAAAGCCAGCTTTATTTTTCGCTGTTTTATTTATCTTCTAATAATTTTGAAACTTCACCACTGCCTGTTTATTTTTCATAAATTTATTTTATTGCTCAGTTCCTGAAATGATTCATACCCAAATGATTCCGATGTAGAAATCTAACGGGAGATCGAGGTGAAAACAATAAGTTGCAACGACATTTTTACAATTTATTTTGTTATAGAAGACTTGACTTATCAACGGGCTCATGGTTGAACTAATATCACAAGTTCAACCATAAACGTGTCTGCCTACTTTTACCCCTCATTCGAATAAGTATGATCGATGAACCAAGATTACGCTTCAATATGGTGTGATTCTTTTCCTTCACTGCTAAGTCTGGGGTAAAAGCACATGAGCTGTGAATAATTGTTAAGAAACTACCAGTATATGAACGATTGCAGAAAATGGGTGAAAATAAAAATTACTGTATCATCACTAGACTAAAATTGAAGAATTGCAATCAATCATACTGAAAAATTCCGAATTCCGCTTCAGGTTCTGTGGACTGAACCAGTCAGAGACGCTCGTCGCCACAACATATTCGGCAACGTCACCTTCACCGTGGCCTGGTCCGACATGTACAGGCAGTTTGGCCCTAATATGTACTATCTTCGGCAACGTACTTCTCACAACATTACAACTGAAATACTGATCACTAAAAAACGTTTTAACACCTTAGAATTAGTTGATTTCAATGCCAAGAATGCTCCTGTAAGAAGAGGAGAATGCAATTGTGCATCAGAGAGCAAAATGTGTAACTGTGGTTCGTTGAAATACGCAACAAAAATTCGAAGAGGTAAATCAAGTATCAGGCATCATATACAAATAGCCGTTGATGCCACAATCTGGGAGGGTTTTTGGGTCTATGCTCTGAGCACCATTGTACTGAATGACCACCAGCATAATAAATTTTGTTTCAGGCAGGAATACGTAAAACCCAAGAGGCCTTGTCAGTTTTATTGTGACGCAAGCCAAGTCCAAACTATTTTATGGCTACAATGCCACCACGAACTTGATGAGGATTTTAGGCGCGAATGGTATGATAGATTTTGGCAGAATTGGATGCATCATTTTGAAAGTTACAGTCAATCTCTACCATATTATTTTAAATAAGCATTTAAGGGACATCTGTCTCATCAGTCAAATTTGAAAGATTTTTGGCTCTTTTACAATTCCACGTCGCATGAAATTTATTGCATTGTTTTGATCACTGCGGATTGGAGAAGATTAGAGCAAGTGCAGTGCATGGGCAGATATATTGGTGCCGGGTTGGGCTCCCTTTTACAAACATTATACAAGATTTTAGTTGTTTTAAATCGCAAAGATAACTCAACTTTTTATTTAACACGCTTCGAGCTTTTTCTTAGTTCGCGCTTTCTCGTACTTTATTAAGTACGAAATTAATTAGATAAATGATATGATTTGTGCTCGATTGGAAGGTGGTGTTATGGTCAAGAAATGTCATATGGTCAAAAAATTCTGGTGTTATGTCAAGAAATGTACCTGCTATATTATAATTCGTGAATCGACTGTCCTATGCTACTCAATCATCTGCCAAGATTACAAACATTTTTGCAACGTCTAACACTGTGGGTTCGAATAATTTTCTGTACTGACCTTCACAGCCAAAATTATTGAAACATGTATTAATTGCAATTTAGATGCTACCGAGGTATAGTGAACCGGGAAATCGCTATAACAGATGCCGTTTGTTTAGGCTAAGCTTTCCCGTTTTCACCAGCACATACGATTTTTTCGCAAGCACCGATGATGTTCTCACAAACACGCTATACTTGCACGCACAATGTCAGATAATATCTGCAGATAACGCACACGGCGCATTTAGAAGTGATTTTATTCCAGTTTCGCTGTGAACGTTTATGCGTCAATATTGATTCCAAGGTCGTCCTACTTCAGCAACGAATTTTTCATCAACTAGCCTGACTCATGAAGCTGTTTGTATCAAATCAGTTTTCAATTGCCCAAATTTAGTAGTTGAATCGACTCTTAAGTATAAGATGAGGGCCCCCAAGCATTGATTAATTATTTAGCTAGTACATTTCACAGCACATTACGTATGCCCTTATAGGACGTTTTCAACACCTCATATATTTTTCGCATCAGTCCCGACAGATTCGGGTTAGGCGGAACCGTCACTCCCAATTTTTGTGTGTTAAGGAGATGATCACAAAAATGACGAGCAGCTGTGGTTGAAATCAAGTTCGTTGAATTTGAAATTTGGTAGTTGCGATTTTTGTACTTAGCTGTACAAATGCGTGGAGGGGGTGAGGGTCTGGGGCCTGCAGCGGCATGAGCGCAACAGCATCAACTTCAGGCGTACGGTGCGACAGAACAGCTACTTCCACAGACCTGCATTGGACGTTCGAAAAGTTATGAAACACGTGAACTGCGAGCTAACGTTGCAGGTATAGCAGATCTCTCTACTGCAAACATATTCAAACTAGCGACATTCGAAATGCAGCATAGCGGGATCGCCTCACCTTTGGCATCACTGGCTTCACACATATGGACCCACAGCGGGAGCGCAGCCGTGCACCTCCAATTTTGTGCACCAATAAGCGCTGAATCGAACGCCTTGGATCTATCCGAACATCTACCAATCAGCCGTTAACCACTCGGCTTTGTCCTCCTCCGGCCTTGCATAAAACCTGCCGTGCACCACCAGGCCGCGGAGCGAATATGATTTCCGGACATCGTTAAATTACGTAATTTTACGTTCACCGCATGAAAGGTTAGGTGCCAGATAGCATAGTTCTCTTGCAAAATTTATCGTCATTCGAAGATTGGCCGTTCGACCGAGGGCTGGTTCGACGCACGGCCGAGATATGATTGTCCAGAAGTGTTGAAGGCTACGTTCCGGAAGGCAGGAATCATGATGGTCCATTACATCCAGGGCAGTAGTGGTCTTCGGCAGGCGACCCATCACAGCTAACACCTGTCCGGCCAGTCACTCCAATCGTGACTGTTGCCAGGACAATAGTTCGGTTAGCTGTTTAGTCTTGCACTATTAGCTCTTAGATTACTCTCTTTGCGTAGATGAGATCTAGAGATAATGCAAGCTTTCAAAAATTAATAGAGATAATGCAAAAATCCAAGTTATTAATTCCTCCTGCAAAGCCGTCGACGCCTGTGGAAACCAGTATACTTCTCTTTTCAAATCTTATGATCCGACATTAAAGTCATGTTCCGTGTTCGACTGGATTCGACACTCCATCATATCGCTCGCCTCCCGTCCCGTGACAGGTGCCTTGACTACTTAATCATAGCGGTATCAGCGTTTATTAAGCCGCATTAGTGTCGCCGATTATAACATCGCAGAAAATTCACAGCTTGTTGCGGTCTCGAACACGCAACTCACAACTCCGATTAGGCTTTGCGTAACCGCCCGGCCTCCTTGCTGATTCTGACCAGAAACTGGCGCATAGAGCTGGGATCGAACTATAGCATCTCTCTGCTCTAATCCTGATACTCTGAACTGGAACCACTGGGCCACACTGCCTAGTAACAGCTGCCTGGAGGACGTCTCGCTGCCTCGGAACAAGTCTCGTGACAGCTGCCAGGAGGACACCTCGCTGCCTCGTCACTCGTCTCGTGACAGCTGCCTGGAGGACACCTCGCTGCCTCGGAACAAGTCTCGTGACAGCTGCTTTGACAACACCTAGCTGCATTTTCACCCTTTTAAAGGCACTAATTTTTTTCACGCAAACTCTTTTGATTTTAATAAATTTGTAGCGATTTCATCACGAACAATAATTGTGTAATGTTTTTAATTTGAATAAAAGTCGAATCACTCATTTATTATAATCCCCATAGCTTATATTGACATTTCACTGAAATGGAATATGAGTCCCCCCCCCCTCCGGGTACATACGTTCAGCGTACGCACTCGAAGAAATGTGCGAGACATTGTCCATACAGCAATGCACTATTTACCCTTGTGAGAGGCATTCTGATCCAGTTTGGCCCGATAAACATAGCAGAGCCACGTGCAAAAAGTGTCACTTTTTGGACAACATCGCCGGTAAAATTTCATGGTGCAGCATTCCGGTCTAAAGACTTTTCGGGAAGTGACTCCGCTGCATGGACTCTGTTCTGTTGCTGCGATTACGGTCATCTTCAAAATTGAGGCCTCCGCGCAGGCCGCGGTTTATTCTATAAACTTACGTGACGTGCGAACTCCAAGATACAGCCTTCGTAAAGGCTCAACGCTAACGCCAGGTTGAGGCGCTTGCATGTACACGATTACAGTGGTGGCAGCCATTACAACTAATAATGCTAAAAACAACTAATTATTAATCTTCTGGTCTCGATGTAATAGGTTCCGTCGCCAGTTACACCTATAGACCAGGCATATATAGCATGGCAAATAATAGGGGTTAACACATAATAGTTGCAATGGCTGCCACTACTGTCCTCGTGTAGTAGCCTTTTGTTATGAAGACATATTGGGGATCTATAAATAGGATTCGTTCGGCGCTAGAGGTACTGACACACTATATACCTACTAGTACTATATAGTGACGGCTTGTAACTGCAATATAGTATCGGTCAAGACACTATCCCTACTACCAGAGACGCTTTGAGGCTACTTTATAATATCGATCCAGACAGACATGCCTCCTAGAGACAACTTATGGCTATTATAATATTTCGCTCTAGACAGATTAAATCTACTAGAGACAGCTTGTGGCTACTATATAATATCGGTCAAGACAGATATGTATATTAGAGGCAGCTTGTGGCTACTATAAAATTTCGGTCCAGACAGATTAATCTACCAGAGACAGCTTGAGGCTTCTGTAGATAGTATCGGTCCAGACAGACTATACCTATTATATAATAACGGTCAAAACAGACAAATCATATAGGGACGGCTTGCGGCTACTGTATAATATCGGTACAAACAGACTATAAAGACGACCTCTATATACAGCAGCATAAATTTATTGGCTAACGTTCGTATTCAATCTTTACATCACTGTAGAATTTACACGTAGCAGAATGTCAAATGCGGAATGTAAATTACTCTTAGCAGAAATTACTCGTAGCAGAATGTCAAATCCAACGATTGACTCTTTATTTAACATTCCGCCAACGGTTTCGGAAAACAAATCAACATTCAAATATATAAACTTAAACTATACAGTGAAATATGATGGTGATACAATCGTGTATAACTCATTAATATTTCAACATAGATATTCAAAGGTGAAAGAGTAAATATGCAAGATACATAAATAGCCACTTGCCAATATGAGGGCACCGTGTTTGGCTCACCAGTCGCAAACCAATAATTAATTTGCGACGCAAATTTGGATCCAAGTAGACCTAGCCTACTTCTGCATAGGAAAAATTTCAGTAGTTTGTACTGAACATAATTATTCAAATTTTGTGGCTGCTGATCATATCTAATAGAGACAGCTTGTGGCTACTCGATAGTATCGGTCCAGAACTATCGGGAAAAACTATTAAACAAAATATGTGAAGGGTTGATTAATAGTGAAATATAGCATTTTTTTCCTTCTGTGTATCATTTTGGATGCAATCACAGTTTGATTTTAATATTTTTCATGAAATATTAAACCTCTATCAGTCTAACTTGTTCGTAATATACTTGGCAATGATAATAATTAACAAACGGCTTCATTATTTACAAATTAGTTAATGATAAAGTGTGCTCATTTTCTGGAGTGAGCATATTTTATGAGAAATAAAATATAATCAATGCATTATTAAAATTTGGATTAACAACAGAAAGATAAATAGCAAACATATTTGACTGGACTCATCTAGATGATGAAAAAATAGACAATTTGTCCATAATGAAAGTTTACTAGGACTTGCTCTAGATTTGTTAACATATGTAAATTGTTAACGCGTTCTAAACTTGTTAACGTATGTAACTTGTTAACGCGTTCTAAACTTGTTAACGTATGTAACTTGTTAACGCGTTCTACACTTGTTAACGTATGTAACTTGTTAACTCGTTCTAAACATGTTAACGTCAGAATAAGCCCGGTGATTATGATAAGAAAAAGGCAAATCGCCTTATCAGTACTTATTTATTTCAACAAAGAACTCAAGAAGCCAATATTCTCTGAAAATGAATGAACAATACTAACATAAAGACATTCTTTTGAAGAATTGAGAAAATTTAAATTGGGATCTTGATTGCAACATTCTACTCTCTGAAGTTGTTTACTATTTAAGCATGGCAAATATCATACGCAATATATTTTCAGTTTCATGAACAAGTAATTTAATACTTTCATTTAAGAGGAACCTCATTATTGAGCTGAAACTCGATCAAAAGCTTAGGAAATTTTAGACTAAATCATAAAGTTTGTAATAAACATTACTACATTGATAGCACTGAAAAACAATAATACGCCGTAGATGATTGTATCAGATGATCATATCGAAGATAAGATTAAATGCAGGCGATAACAAGCAACAACAAAACTTTGGAATTCCACAGCGCCTTGATCATACACGTGTCGAAGGCTGACTGAAAAGGTCACCTCGAATACAGCGAAGCTTCAAAGTGAGCTTATAATCAGCTACTTGAAGTGAAATTAGGTTTACATAATCAATTATTATTATTACTCTAGGATTATTTTGATCACTGGAGACAGTGCCTTTTTAGATGAAGAATCTGAACGACGAATCTGAAAATATGGAGAATCAAAACGACGCTCTTGCTGCGGTGCTCGCCGTGGATCCGTGGTCGCTGCAGGCGACTGGCGTTACCAGCCTGGCAGACGACACGTCGCGCCTCTGCCTCGTCACTGAGCCCGACGCCGAGGGAGAAAGAGACGTGCTGGGACTCAGACCCATAGATTCACGGTATGAATTATGGAATTATATTAAAATATATTATATATTCAGAAGAACTATACAAGAGATAAAGAATTACCATAAATGAGAATTATGTGAAGTTGTGTAATGTGTTAAATGTCTCATTAACTCTAAGATAGAAGCATACAATTTTTAACTTTTCTTCAGGCGTACATACTCTTAGATGTCAGCTGAATATTATTCGAAATTATTTAATTGTTCAACTGAACTAATTAACTCATGAAATTCGTCCAAATTTCCTATTGTAATTCATCAGCAAATAATTAAATGTTATTTATATCCCTGTACTTCGACAGTGTGGTTGTGTCGGGCCATCTTTATTTCAACTACAAACGTGTCAAAAATATCGGACGCTGCCTACATCTGGACGACGCATTAATAAGCTGGCAATTAAAATGTCTCGTCCCGCACCACCTCTTCAACCATAGGAGCGATGAACTGTTGAACACAACCGTGAGTTTGAAGTTGTATATAAATCACTTTAATTCTAGCTTAATGAATACTAATAAACGAATTTTATTTCTTACAAGATCATCAGCTTGAAAGTAGTGATCAAGCTGTCTGTGTTGTTGTACAGGACTGCGCTTGAATAAATTTCCTTAAACCTCGCATTAAGTGTAATTCGAGATAAAATCGAAAATTATTCATGAATGGAATACACGATGAATAAACACGATTGTATTTTTTGCTTTGAGTCTTCGGATAATAGAATAATCGAAACGAAATAAACATCATTAATGTTAGATTACATTTTTGTCATTTGAATCTGATTCAACCAAATAAATCTGATTTGAATTTGACTCTAAATGTGTTTCTCACACTTGAAACTCAATTTTTTTAATTGCGTGCTTCAGGTTCTGTGGAGTGAACCAGTCAGAGACGCTTGTTTCCACAACAAATTCGGCAACGTCACCTTCACCGTGGCCTGGTCCGACATGTACAGGCTGTTTGGCCCTAATATGTACTACCTCCACCAACGCATTGCAAGGAATTTTTTGACCACCGAAATATTGGTCACTAAAAAACACTTCTCTTCTTTGAGACCTGTCGATTTTGAAGCAAGAAATGCTCCGGTGCGAATCGGGCCTGATAAGTCCCTCGAATACGCAACTGTAGCGCAGGGAGCCAAATCAAGTCTCAAACATCGGATATACATCGCATTTGATGCTACATTTTGGGAAGGTTTTTGGGTTTATAAAGTAAGCACAAAAATTTCCAACGAACACCAATTTGATAAATTTTGCTTTAGGGAAAGGTGTATAACGCACAGGTTTTGTCAATATTATTTAAACGTCACCCAAGTTGATGAGATTTTCTGTAGTATGTTAAATTACCAAAATCGACCCAGGTGATGATGGTCAAAGTTTCAATATTTCACAGCCGTGATTTCGGACTTTTGCATTGTTGCTTTGGCTGGTCTCCGAAACTTTTGAATTAAAATATGAAATTTCTAGACATTTTCTTCGCAATCAAATTTGATATTTGATAGAGTCAGATGAAAAAAATACTGACTTTACAAACAGATATATCAGGGTAAGCTCATATCACGAAATTTACAGTATAGGCAAGACATCGCTACCGAACACTAGTGTGTCTTTAAAAGACAAGTATTCCGTTGACCAGATCGCAAATTTTACGATTATTCTATCATATGAACACTATCGTGGCCTCGATCATGGCTTAACTGACTTGGAAAAGAAAGACTGCTTATATATTCGGACTTCGACTTAGTATTATTAATATTAATTAATAATGGACCTTTTACAAAATGTTTTTTGCTTGCGTATTCTTTTTTAAGATTGATTAGAAATGAATTGTATTTACTCGATTAATTAATTGTATTAAATTTCTGAGAATATACTTATATATTAAATATTTTTAATCACAAATCCCAATACCTTTTCTTTAGCCTTAAAATTAATCGTCACTGTAAAAAACATAGGATTGTACAAGATCTTCCCACATTTCTTAGATTGTAATAATACGTGTTTAAATTTCACTTTACATTGTAGGCTACCTATACTGGTTGGAAAATTACCTATGTAAATATTTTATTTTTCAACGGGTTTTGTATGTCATCTTGAGTGAAGTTGTTGCCATATTCATGAGAAATTTGCAAGTTTTATGTTTCAATTTCATGCGACTCTATATACTTGCGAGACTTTGTATTGTTAGTGAGTCGTTCGGTAGACATCGTTTTTATCAACAAATATTTTGTATTGATATATTGTTTTTGATTCAATTACTACAATAGATTGCAGCTAGCTTTGAAGATAGGATTTTTATATAGTGAACCAATAATAAAGTAATTGTATTCCCTGCATCTCATTATATGACAGGTTGATTTAAAATCAATACGTAGTGCCATCCAATCTAACAAGTGAAACATCTAACTTTAAGCGGCTGTTGCGTAAATTTAAATCTTTGGGAATTGAGAGTAATGTACTCAAATGGATCATAGATTTTCAAGTAGGGAGACAACAGCGTGTCAGTATTAATATTTTTATAACTGCTTTTAAGACTTCGGGTATGAAGTGATCACACCTCCCAGTCTTAGCACCACTTTATTTTTATCTGAGCTTTTTTTTCTCATGCTACCAGTCATTTATTTCACAGTTTAGTTTCTAGCTCACTCTCACCAACTGATGGTTATTGTGTGAAAGAAGAGATAAAAGAGTTAGTTACATTCATAGGATGGTTACCATGCTGTGTCAGTATTAAGAGCATGCATCAAGGCGGTCAGCCGCGATAGTCGCCTATGGAGTTTCTTAACTATGAATTCGACAGATAATTCCCCTCTTAATTAAGATACAAGTCTAAAATTTGGATTGCTATCCTGGCTAATTATTTTCAATTTGCAGATATTAAGATAGATTATGTGTAAAATTTGTATTATCACTGTTATTGCCAACGAAAATTTTGAACCGTGAGGATAATAAAGCGCGTGACTTTTCAAACATTTTTGCGATACTAGTTGGTTTAATTTATTCTTTATTGATTACTATACCATACAATTTTGAATAATTCTTCTAGTGGTAATTATATTAGAAATTTAAGCACAAGTCATACTTGTGCTTAAAATCAAGATTTACGTTGATTAAATTAATTTATTTTCCGTAGATTAAATCAAGATTTGACTCTCCGTCAAATCAAGGATAGTACCTCCATTCGTACCTGACGCTATGAAATCAATGCAGCGTTCATGTCGGTATGCAAATTTCAATTTCTAGTGAAACAAAATCTCTAGCACAGGAAAAGGGTAATATAGTGAAAGTAGAAAATCCATCAGTTTAAATCACTGTATATAATATCTTATTTACCAGAAATGTAGATCCGACATGCATTACCGTTGAGTAGTAAGACTGTCCTAAACGATCGTACCTCACTTGAAATCTTCGCAGCTGCATTGTTGACAGAAACCGTGCTACAGCTACTTCATAACTGTTGTCTCAACATTGATAAAGATGTCTAATGATTGGTCGAACCGTTGTTTTTATAACTACCGTACTTCGGAATGGTGGCTCTGCCTTCACCTACGATAATGCCTTGTCCGAACTCGCTTGTCGTAAATCTGCTGATGATGTTTGTGACCGTACTGCTACTGATAATCACCGTGACCGTACCGAAGCTGATGATAACCGTGACCGTACTGCTACTGATAATCACCGTGACCGTACCGAAGCTGATGATAACCGTGACCGTACCGCTACTGATGATGACCGTGACCGTAACGCTACTGATGATGACCGTTGACCGTACCGCTACTGATGATGACCGTGACCGTACCGCTCCTGATGATGACCGTGACCGTACCGCTACTGATGATGACCGTGACCGTACCGCTTCTGATGATGACCGTGACCGTACCGCTTCTGATGATGACCGTGGCCGTACCGCTAATGATGATGACCGTGACCGTACCGTTTCTGATGATGACCGTGACCGTACCGCTACTGATGATGACCGTGACCGTACCGCTACGGATGATGACCGTGGGGGGGGGGGAATAGTCTCGAGAAAAGAGGAGCTCGAAGGCCTATTGCCAGTATCAACACACTCAGCACACACACAACGTCAATAATTTTGTAGGTTTTATCCAAACTTCAAGATAATTATTTTCAAATTTGTGGGAAGACATGCATATGGAACATATTGAAATGGAAAACACCTTTTGTCAAGAACGCATGCAAAAGCATCTGAAATCCTGTTACTTGCCGCATTTTAATTAGAGCTTTCAAAATATTTGGATTCATGAGTATTGAATGTTGTATTAAATTCATTAGTATATAATTGTTCACGTGATCTTTTGAATAATAACTGTCAGTTAATTCCATTAAAACTTATGTATGAATCAGAATTAAATATTGGCAATAATTGTACATGGTTTAGTGATTATTAGTGTAAGTTTTCATTTTGAGTAGCGTTTTTTAATCATTTCGCTGCTTACATTACTATGAAACTCATTTACTATAAAACTTTGTATAAATCATTTATGAACAAAGAATGAATGGTGGCAAAAATATATGGAGCGATCTAAATGGTGATGTTGTTTATGAATTCATGGGAATACATTCAAATAAAGTTGGAATTTCAATTTCAAATTAGTTAGCATTGCTATGTTACATTCCCTATTAATGAATAGAGAATGAAAACTATCACTAAAACATGAATGAAAACATATCACGAAGAAATGAATGCTAAACAGTTTTGCACAGTTAGTTGAATATTTTTTTTGCTTTCCAAGCGCGCGCATGTGTAAGTTCGTGTGTACATGTAATTGCGTTAGAGGGGGTAGTTGTTAAGTCCCCAACCTCTGCCTCCTCCTTACGCACCTTCGCTTCCCCATTGCTGAGTTAGTCCTCTAAACAAACCCTCCCCGACGCTTGGGGAGATTGTGGCGAGATGCAAAGCTTGGAAGCTGGCGTTAAATATCGAGTGATTCAGAGGTCCATATTTTCCGTGTCTGCATTCTCTTGCCAAATTACTCCTTATCCCATTGATGATATTAGAACTAAATAGAAAATATGGTTAGTTAATTCTTCAACGATTTATTAATGGCAAATAATTGCATTCAATGAGTACTACAATAGTAACACACTAAGTACTATTTGTACAATTATGGTCCTTTAAATAAGGACCGTCGTCAATTCCTGTGAAAAGTTGCATAAAAATCATGGTAACCGGTAACAGTACGGGGAAAGGAGGAAGGCAGGAAGGAGGCCTCCACCTTCATCTACGGAGGGAGTATGAGGAACGGAGTGGGGGTGGTGTGTGGAAACAAGGAGTCGTTCACGGCCTTCACAGCCCTTCAAAACCTGTACCAATTCAACCAAGAACCAGAAAATGATTTACGTTACTTTAAGGAGATGAAAGTAACACGCATGCCAATATAAGACCTACATGCCGTAAATGTTATATTACGCGCATGTAATATCCGGCGCAATTATTTAAACAATTAATTCGTTAATCAATAAGTCGCTTTACCCTCCCTCCGCCTGAATTCCTTGCCACCATAACTGTGCTGCCAGACAAAAAAAAGTGCACTCTGTTTGGCCGGTGCGCTCAGAGGAGACTTCGCGTGTCCTTGAATGCAACTCTTATGGGACCGTATCAGACTGGACTTCAGTGCGTAGCAACGGGCCACAAGGAAGCGTTCTCGGGCCTGTTTTATTCGTTTCGTTTATAAACGATCTGCCAGAAGCTGTGTCTAGCGTGTGCTCGATGTATGCTGACGACGCAAAAGTTTATAATACAGTGAAAAATACGTCGCAAAAAGTACAGTTGCATGGTAATCTTGACAGGTTGGTTGACTGGGCTGATAAGTGGCAGCTGCGTTTTAACGCTGACAAATGTAAAGTTATCCACCTTGGCAAGAACAATGAACAGCAAGATTACAGAATGAGAAGATATGGTTGCAACGAAAGAGTGATGATGTCGAAGTCGACAATGGAAAAATACTTAGGCGTTAATGTCGACAATGAGTTGAAGCTTTCTACGCATAGTGAAGCGCAACTTAATAAAGCCAATAAATGGCTTGGACTGATCAGACGCTCTTACGAGTACACAGATGCTGAAGCGATGAAGCTGTTGTTTGTTAGTTATGGAAAGATCGGGTTCAAAAGGTCAGATCCCTCGTGTAATCAAGTCAATTATTTAGCTGGATACAAGATTGAAAACAGAAATTTTAATAAGGGATTTCGGGTCAAATGAATCGCAATTTACTGTTTTGAAGCATTGTTGCGCAGAAAAAACTTGTAAAACGGACTCTGATGAATAGGAGAGAGTTCATTTCCTCTACACGTTGAATCTCTCTTGAGCATGGGAATTTATTGTTCTTGAAGATAGAAAAAAAGAATATAGAAAAGAGAAACAACCTCCCTATTTTTGATGCAATCTTATGGTACTCAGAAGCCCCTCTTTGTCAATTCAAATTAAAACTCCTCGGTTTCAACGACAACAAAGGCTAATTAAATTCCTGTGAGAAGAGTGAAGCTGCGATCGTCGTGCGCAGTACAGCTCTCGGTTTTCAGTGACGACAGCAGAACTGCAGAACAGTGCGGTATGACTCACTTTAAATAAATTAAACCTCTTATTCGTATAATAGGTTTAATTTATTAACCCTTCTTAACCCATTAATGCCGAGAATTATTGTCTGAATTTTTCTCTGGTTTCATGTTAGAATATTATCACTTGTGAGGGTAATAAATAAAAAATATGTTCAAATATTCATTTTCTGTTGTATATGAAAAATT